CCAAACAGCTTATTCTCTTACTTGCTTACTTCTGAAAATGAACACCCATTGAGAGTGTGAAATTATCTGTCATTTGCTATTCTATTTTAGCAACTTATGAATGAAATCTAACCCTTTACTTAAGGTATGTATTCCTTTCCTTTATTGAAGGATAATTTACTATAAGGATCAATTTATTAAATCCTCAAAATCTTATTTTCTTTAATTGCCATTACAAATTTGTGCTAAATTGATAATTCATTAATTATTTTATCCTTATAATAAGTCTAATAATTTAGTTAACTAATTTTGGTAATGAAGTAACCCTCTTATTCATATACTAAGTCTGCATAAGTTAGTTAATTAATCTTAGTAATTAATTAACTTCTTTAACCATATTCTAAGTCTTAGATAATTTAATTAATTAGTTTTAATAATTAATTAAATTATCATCCATAATACACTTTTAATAAACTTTACTTTACCTTAAAATTGAGGGTCTAGCGTATCGTTTCTTTACGATTTTCGCTTACATGCTTATTTAAAAACTGTTAAGTTTTATTGGAAAACTATATACGACGTTTAACATAAACCTAATTCACAAATCTCATAATTAACGTATTTCATGAAAATCATACGCCTTATATGACTATCTTAATTAAACTGTAAGCAAGGTTTGTACTTGCCTGGATTCCGAGCTAAGCGGTTATGATAGTATCTCGCTTGTCCTTGTCGTGTCCTCCTGCGTATTCCTCACAACTAATTTTGGGAAAAGCTGCAAGTACTATGAATGATCCTTGAGGAACATCGTAGCTTTAAACACTCGATTCTGATCTTCACTTGTTTAGTCTGAACCACCTCGATCCGCATGCAACCAATACCAGACCATTCTTATAAGAATTGAATTTGGTTGAACGGACGTCACCATTTCGTTCAGCACGTCAAAACGAGTCGAGATATGGTCTCGGATCATCAAACGGATGTCGATAGCCTGAGAAACGACACCTCGCCGGAAAATGGCGGCGGCGGCAGCGTACGGCGGCGGAGGCTCCCAGAGAGCTTTTCCGCGGCGGACTTGGGTCTTACCCCTCCTAACTTGACCCTTCTGAGTCCATTGGTGCGGTCAATTTCATACCATTCGGCCTGTAACAGTACCTATCGGGACCGGCAACGTCGGTAAAATCCGGCGACCCAAATCTCAGTATTTCGGTCATCAATTCTTAAAATTGGTTGTGGGGTTTTCTTACCCGCTTTCTTATGAGTGTTGTGACACCAAAGTCACTACGATCTAACGGTTAGATCATCGGAACCACCTCTTCCCTCCACGGATGACGGCAGTGGCTCCGTTTTCCGGCCAAACTGTGACGGTGACGGTGGTTGCTGGTCGGGATCTACTGGGCGTCGGCTTCTGAGTCGATTGGTGGGGGCGGTGACATCCACGACGGCCTGGAGAGAGGGAAACGACGGCGGCGGCGTCCGCGATTCCGACCACCACGGACGGCGGTGCTCCGGCCAGAATCGAGCTATGAAAATGGATGGGGTTTCTTCGTCTCGTTGCACTGAGTCCATAGGGACTGAAATCACCTCAATCGGAGGTCGGATGACGGAGATATCACGACGGGAAGAAATGGGTAATTTTGGAACTTCCACCGGCGATTGCGGCTAATTCCGGCGGAGTTGGAGGTCATGCCGCATGTCATTGAACTCAGCTCGTCGAGATCTTTCTATTGACACCGGCGGTGTCAAAAACGGAGGTCGGAATCTCAACTTGAGTATTTGATCATTGATGGTTTTGTGAGAGAACGTGAGAGAAGAGAGAGAGTGAACGGGAACAAGAGAAAGAAAGTGCAAGAACCCTAAGAATTTCACTATATAAAGTATCTGATTAAGGCAAGATTACGTGCCTGATCTTACCCTCAATTATTTCCTCTAAACAGATTAAATTTATACTGATTAGAGGTAATTAGTTTAGCTCACGTAAGTTAATCTACTACTTACAGTCTAATATTAATTTCTGAATAATTCAATATTGTTTTATATTCTTACTCGCGTAATATTTCAAACTGTTTTAAGTTTTGAAATTAATTTGAGACTGAACCAATTCTAAATTTAACTTTTCTACATTATATTCCGGGAATGACATTGTTTTTGACGCTGTCAACTCCCGAGCTCACATTGTACCCTTCTACTTTAGGTATTTATCTAGTGACTTTAACCTAACTGTCTGGCAATTAAGGATTTTTTTCTTCTTTTAAAATGTTAGTGTGTTTTTTTTATACGCTGCTAATATCGTGCTGTGCTTGGAGATTCTTGAAATTAAGATTCTCAAACTATACTTGTACTGAAAATTATTCCGCCTTAAAATATGGCAAGAATTTATCGATCGAATTTACTTGATCGAAACATGAACTTAACATGAAATCTGCTATAGAATTTAGGAATACATATATTAATTCCATAAATCCTCCATTCACAAAATAACATAATATTTTCTAGAAAAATTATTGACTTAAATAAATAAATTGTATTATTTAATGTCTAGGATTTTCTCAGTCATTACTCTTTACTTGTAGTAAAGTGACGAAAAAGATCCAGTCTAAAAACTTAGGACAAAATAAGTGACCAAGAGGAAAATTGTGAAAAGAATTTATAACACAGAAAAAACTAAGGGCATGTTCTTTTGTCTAAAAAACTCAAAAAAAGACAACTCAAATTTCAACTTTATTCAAATTCACGTTCTTTTAAGTTTCAACTTTATTCAAATTCACGTTCTTTTAAGTTTCAACTTTATTCAATTTTACTCAACTTTATTCAAGTTCTAACTTCAACTCAAGTTATAACTCAAATTCAACTCAAAAACTACACTCAAGTTACACTCTAAAAGAACAACCCTAAAAATATCCGATTCAAAAACAGATGCAAGGGTTAAGACTCAAAGAAAGACTATACAATTGGAATGTATGACAAAAGAAAACCAATAAGCTACTGGACAGGAAAGGAAAAAGTGAGAAAAAAAAAAGAAAATAGCAATATAAATAGCTCAAATTAAAGAAAAGAAATAAAAGCACAAATACTGAAAATGGAAAGTAATTGAAAACCTCAAAACCATGCTATATAAACCCAAAAACGAGAGAAATTTTTTCCAAATACTACAGTCTATATTGGCCCTATATGATGTGCTAAAATAATATACAGAAGTCTATTGCAAGAATCAAACATACCAACTTGTTTGAGAAGTCATCAATAAGAACCTTGAAAAATGAAGGATATCTTTTGAGAGGCCTTGGTTTTCTTCCCATCTCGATTTGTCTGCAAACAAACTGAAATATTTATATTTGGCAAAAAGAAAAAAAATATATTATATATTTATTCATAACGATCCTGGATCCTGAGGATCTCTTCTTCCTTAATAATCGGAGTGTTAGCCATTGAACCATTGTTCTTGGAAAAAATAAACGGCTCCATTTTAGACGTTTCTTTGGGATATTTATCCTTACTGCCAAACTGGCATTAGTCAAAATGTTCTGAAAAAAAAAAGAAAAAAGAAAAGAGGTTTCCATTTTGGGGACGGTTAAATGAGTTAATTAAAGATTTGGAAGGCCGAAAACCAGGATTTTAGGAAGGGAATAGAAGTGATGCAAAATGTAGATCATTATATTTTAATTTAAATTTGAATAGTTTATATTAGGATGTATTGTATCTTTAATATTTAATTTAAGTTAGTATTATGTTTATGTTATAGGATTATTTAGAATATTTAAATTACTTATTTTCTTTGAAAGGGAATATTTAAATTATATATTTGGGTTTATCTAATTAGTTTTAGATTTCTAAAAATATTTTAGTGAATGTCACTTCAATTCACAGAGTTGATTAGTAAACGAATATTGAGTTTTTGCTTCCTCCTCTTGAGTTGTTCTACTTCTATCTCCCTCTGATTCTATTAAAGTTGACATTTTTAGTTTTAGTGATAATTATTATTAAGTAATTGACCTAAAATATAATAGGCAGGATAATTAGAAAGAGTTTGACGCGATGAATCAATAATTTCTCTATAAATGTCAATTACTTATTAGATTTGTGTACCACGCAAAAAGGATAATTCACACAACTTTTTTGGGTTTTAGCAGTCATTTTTCTAGTTCACTCTCCTCATCTTTCGTATTCTTGTCCTTATTGTTGTTTCGTATTCTTGTCGTATGATCACCAACGTTGTGATTCCAGAGACTTTGTCAATGGCCCTGATATGTGTTCTGAAGAGGATTGCATGCGCCAGTAACCTCATTAAAGTGCCAAACTAAAATACCTTAAACCACCAGTTTCCTTTCCAAGCCCCAATTAGAGGTCTTGTTCGACCAATGAACTATGCTCGTCAAACTTTGTTATAACCCTTGGGTAGAACTCATTCCCAAAAGCTAGCTTATAGGGAGAGAGTGCCTAAATAGTTATAAACCACATGCTAAGCTCATACTTTAGCAATGTGGGACTCAACCAGGATCCTAACATTCTACTACGCTTCCGACACCGACGTCTACGGCGGCCCACTCTGGTTGGCCCACTCTGGCCTTCCCAAGTCGCCCCTTCCGCAACGTGGGCCTGAGGAGGGCATGCTCTGATACCAATTGTTATAACCCTTGGGTAGAACTCATTCCCGAAAACTAACTTGTAGAGAGAGGGTGCCCAAATAGTTATAAATTAACATACTAAGCCCATATTTTAACAATGTGGGGCCCAACTAGGATCCTAACAAACTCATGATGGTGCGAGTGAAACTGAGCACATCATTCAAGTAAATTGAGTCGCATCCTTTTTGTTCCATGTGTGGACCTGGAGAATTTCTTCTACATACGATAGGGATGGAGGACAGGTTGACATGACGCCAACAATCTCCTTTCTTGACTAGTACGTAAGAAAAACTAAAACAACCTAAAATACCTCTTTTACAATTTTAAACACACAAAGATTAGGGTTGAAAGTTCCAAAAACATACATCCTAAAACACACTTTCTTTACATTCTTAAACACACATGCGGACTGGAAATCCAAACAAAAAGACATTACCGTCCAAGAAAGTGCCTGAAATTAGGTCATTTGTAACAACACTAAACTAACAGATCATCACTCCTTAAAAACAGTAACTTTCAGCACAATGTCATTTTCTTTAATCAGCTCATACACACAAACATCACCTGGACGCAAAGAATTCTCCCTTGCAAACGTTGGCCATCCACGAGAAAAAAGGTAGGAATGTGGTGCATTGTAAACGATGGTCACACTCCACGAATTCTTCCCCGTCTGTAGTGTTATATTTTGCGTCTTCTTTCCAAAATAACTCCTCCCAAAATAATTTGGTAATCGCTGCACACAACAAGATAATTTAAATTTAAGAGTGATCTGTTGATCCTGCAACAAGAAATGAGACTATTGCACTAGAACAAAATTGTATTAAAGGTAACATAAAAAACCAATTAGTATAATATGTTTAATTAGCCACTTTTTCATGCGGAAAACCCACATGTGAACCATATTTGTGTGAAACTAATTATAAAACTACCTGAGTATGGAGGTAAGATGAAGTTATTAGCTTTTTGAAGAAGGGATTTTTCGATGAGAATCTGCTGGCTGCATCAGTGGCTCTAGAATCTCCTGAAAATTTCAGAACACGAGTGACCTGGCCTTGCCAAAACTTGCCTACATAAGAAGCAGAAAAGGGTCAGTAATCCAAATTTGTTATAATATTTGAGATCTCTTGTCTTAAACCAATATGTTTACCGGGTTCAACTTTAGTTTCCTCTTGATGTTTGCTAGTACAATCACACTCAGTCTTGACTTTTACAATTCTCTTTGGCTTCAATGAATTAGTTCTGCCCTGATTACCAGCTGAAATTCGAAAATGGCTTTATTTGTGAGAAAATAAAATTGTTTTACTCATGGAGATTTAATTCATACTTAATTTTGCAAAAACGGTATTTCCTTACTGACCATGAGAGGGATGACTATCTAAATCAGCTTTGAGAATGGAAACTTTAAATGACATCTCATTTCCATTAATCAACTCAAAGACACAAGTATCCGCTACTTTCAAATTATTGTCTCGAGCAAATTTCTCCCAACTTGGCTTTTCAAATCTGGCACCTCTACGTCTTTCATCATCACACCTTCTACTTCGGAACCTTATAGGCCAAGTCCCTCCATCGGAAAGTTTAAGGACCGCATCAAGACATTTATTCTTCAGAAATCCATCTGCAAATTTCCGCGGTAAACACTAGAAAGAACACAAGCCATTGCCAATGCAAGAAGACACGTTAAAAAGAGACAAACAGAGGAAAAAGTTCATTTATGCTCTATGTAGGCAGTTTTTCTGTTTCAGATTCACTCTCTTTCAACTGAAATTTGTCATCTGAAAATAGAATCTATGAGAAATTTATTACTGCCTTAAAAAAAGCCTTTATAAGAAATTAATCTTACCATGTCAAAATATTTACCGACATGAGATGGTTTGATCACAACTTTGTAAGTAAAGCTTTTCACCTCAGATAGCCTCCATCTTGGCATGATAGATTTGTCCCCATTACCATCTTCAGCAGAAACTGGAAACAAGATAAAAGAGAATAAACAATACAAGAAAACTACTCTACATGGAAACAACAGTTTGTTCAAGTACCAAAAAATCAATTTCTTGAAGGACAAAAGAAAAAATTTTCGCATGCCTCTCATTGACTTTGAATGGTGTAAATCTCCATTCCTCATTGAATTCTTAAGTATCCTTTCATTGCTTCGAGTCCCTTTGATCTCGGTTTCGCCAATGGGACTGGTTCTGAATTTCTTGTGGGGCTGAGAACATGGTAAAGGAGAGCTCTTTCTTTTTCTGGGATATGGTGACAAATCCTCCAAGACTTCAACAGAGCCATCATCTTTGATTTCTTCTATTTTAGGCCCATCAGAATGCGCCCGAATAAGAGGATATTCGATCTCGACGGTAGTTGTATCAAATATGCAAGCATGGAATCTAGAATTCCCTTCATATCTAAAAACTAGAAAGTGCCCAAAGCCTATGGAATAATACTTTACAAACTCAGGCCAACCCTTTTGCAAACAAAACCTGCCATTAGATTTTCTCAACTCCATTTTCCATTCGGAACCAGATGGAAGCTTAACAAACACCGAGTTGGAGAGGGTTTCTCCATATTTCTTCACAAACTTTGTTGGAATCAGCTGCACGATAAAAAAAATGAAAAAAAAAAGTAAATTTCAACTTTTGTATATATTGATCTGATTTCAAGTTAGTGGAGACCATAAGGCAGTTTTGTTTTTTGTTTTTTTGTTTTTTTGTTTTTTGGGTGAAATATAGGGCAGCCAATTTATAGCCAAAAGTAACAACAACAAGTGAGAAAAAAAAGTGGGGTATTGCTATATTTGCCCACTTTATTTACATAACAAATTCATATCTTCAACAAATCAGAAAACTGTGCAAAAGGGTTGGCCAAAAAGGAAGGAAAAACAAATATAGAAAATATGAGGAAATAAAAGTTTTGAGAGAGAGAGTTACAAGTCTGTTGTCTCGAAGGGTATTCTGTAGAACCAACGAGAAGAAGTGAGGAGTAACAGCGGAAAAAGTAGAGCGATAATTTCCTGGCGTACAACAACTCATCGTTGCGTTGATCATCCAAGCGTCAAAGAAGATATCACAGGAGGATACTTGGCAGAGAAGGAAAAAAAAAAAAACGAAAAAACAAAAAGAGAAAAGAAAGAAAGAAAGAAAAAAAGAAAGAAAGAAAAAGCTGCAAGATATTAAATAGGATGGGTTACACGGGAGCACATATTTGAACGAGGCTGTCGTTTAATCTCCTCTTAAAAAAAATAAATAATAAAAAAATCACACACACACAAAAGAAAGAAGCCCCGTACAAACAAGAGAAAAAAAAAAACAAAAAAAACAAAGAGAAAAAAAAAAAGGGAAAAAAAATTCTTTGATTGATATTTATTGGCCGATTCTCTAACTTGTTTTTATGCCTGATTATTACCACTTCTAATATTTATTGGCCGATTCTCTAAAGTATAATTCTAATGAAAATTTTTATCGGTTTTTGATGAATTTAGTGGGTGAATATGATAAATCCACTTCTGCAGTACTGCTATTATCCATTGAGGGAGCTTGTGATAGATTAACCATCTTGATTCAAATACCATCTTTTTCCATGATTTTTTCTTTTAAATTGTTCCGCTTGATGTCATATGTTATTTGGGTGAAAGTCATATTAATGTTACATAGTCTGGTTCTAAATGATTAGATTCTTGTAAGGTGTCTGGTTTACATTCTTGAACTTTGCCTCTTGCAGTCCTACCTCGATTCTTAGGCTTAACACAAAGATTTTGATCACTATATGAATTTAAGGCGTCATTTGATTGTTAAGTTGTCTCAATAATCTGTTAAGAATATTTATAGAATTAAGCTCCGTTCATTTCATTAGTTCCAATCACAATTCAAGTTTTTACTACAGTGTTTTTTCACATAAAATTACAAATTCAACTTTGTGTTGCAACGTTTTCTCTTACATAAATCTATTTTTCAATTCAAGTTCTCAACTTGAATCAGTGAGATAAACGGGGCCTTAGTTATTAAGTATAAAACAATTGTCCTAGTTATTTCTTGTATCAAGTCTTTAATAGAAACTTCTGAGGGTGCGTTAATTACTTAGAAGGTGTTTTTGCCATTAATGAGAATAAATCTCTGTTAAGGAATTCATTCAATTTCTCCTGTGTGTTCATGTGTTCAATTCTTGTTACAATAGAGTTGTTTGAGAGATAGACTGAAAGTTTGCATAAGATTTACAACATTGTCCTTTACTGCATTATCGAATTTAGCGTTATTTTGGCCAATTTATAGTTCGGAAGCTTGTTATAATAAAGTCGAGCATCTGGAAGTCTGCTAAAAGTGGAACAAAGTTGACAGCCTCGTTTACTTTGTAGATTTGAGTTTTTAATTCGAGCTGAGATGTGACATTTTCTGAGAGCTTTTCACTGTAGCAGAAAAAGTTAGATGTGACATTTTCTGATAGCTTTTTACTGTAGAAACCTAAAACTGAAAACTCGAATCGGTGAAATGAACGAGGCCGACATGTTTCATTATTCCATCTAAAAACCAAGCAAAATGAAACGGAAAGGAAAGATCAAAGAATTTCTAAAAAAAAAAACAAAAAGGAAAAGGAAAAAAGAAGACTTATCAGTGGAATATAGCTAGTTCATTCGTGAAAAAAGGTTTAAACATGACATCAAAAGACCTCTCAAATCCCTTTTTCTTTTTCCTCCACAAAATGATCATACTTTCGTCTTTTCCTTAACAAAATACCATCTTCACTGTTCAATTTTCCTTTCCCACACTTGTAAGTTTTACAAACTGTGTTTCTGCTTCAAAATGTTTCGTTGCAAAACGTAGCGGCACATGCTGCAAAAATTAAGAAGACGTTTAAAGAACAACCGGTGCCAACCTCACAAGGATATGCTAAGTCCAAAATTACATGTCGGATACAATATAATTTAAGCTTGTCTAGGTAAACATATTTGCAGAAAATTATGTTAGCCGAACCATATTCCATAGCGGCGTCGAGGAACTAGTATCACTTGACAAACTAAGCATATTATATTCTTGAAGCCTATTAATTTTAAAGAACAATATTTTATCTAAGATATCATCATGTACCAGATTTTGAAAAGAAGATTGGCTCAGTTCCGCTTTGAAGCAAGGCCGCTGGTCTGATCTTTTAGATTTAGAGTTTCCAAATTTATTGCCTGCACTAGATGAGTTTGTTTCAGTACTTATTTGGTGATTGTTCTCAAGCATATTTGAGATCAAAACTCTGATACTCTAAATACTTGCATAGTTCAACATTGATTTCCTCTTGGCGATGGCATTCGGATCCTTCCTCCGCACATGGTTCATTGAGGGCCGCATATTGCAAGTTTCAGCCTTGTATGACGTACTTGGTGTCTTATCTCTCGCACTCAAACTTTTCTTCGGATGATCTTGATTAACTGCACTCTTGCCAGCTAAAATCCAAGAGCGTCAAAAATAATTAATTAGTAATACATCAATGTGTGTGTACATATATAGACCAAATTCATGCCTTATGAGGAAGGTAACTGTTGGTAATTCAACTTACCGTGGGATTGTTGACTGTTTTGAAAATCTCCATCTCGGCTAATGGTAACTTTAAAAATCATTTTACGTTGGTTAACGAGCTCAAAAATACACACATCGTCAACTTTCAAATCATTGTCCACAGCAAAATCCTTCCAACCTTTTCTTAGGAATGAAACTCTTATCGATCTCATGGCAATCTTTCTGGCATTAAGCTTTACTATCCAAACCCTCTCATGCGAAACATAGAGGGTAGCATCATCAGTTATATCAAAGAGGCATTCCATCCAAAAATCTGTTCGTACTACCTAAATCATCAAATAGACGAAAGATCAAAACCCGTATGAAAGGGACAAAGAAGAAAACAATGGGATGATACATTGAGCAATTATATTTATCAATTATACTGCTAGTAAGCAAATTCAGTATTACCATGACAAAGTTGGAAAAGAAAGCTTGCCATGTCATAACGACTATATATATTTCGTTTGTTGTATTACAGCCTTGAAATACGGACTTTGTGACATGAAATCTTCAGTCCTAGATAGAGCCTTCGCCTTTTCAGCCATAGTCAAGGATCGCTGCTTCCTTCCAAGAACCGAAGGTTCTCCATCATGAGTACTCTTAGCTGAAAAAAATGAAGAGATTAAATAACCAGAAAATAAAACTAAGCACTAAAATGCAATTAGGAGAAAAAAAAAAAAAAAGGGTTAAAAATATTCCATGCCTTCCATAGATTTTGACTTGCAACTATAATCCCATTCGCCTATTGAATTTTCTAGATCCGTTTCATCATTACTACATTGAGTATGACTATCTCCAATATTTCTTTTAACTCTTTCCGGACTCCGAGCATGTTGAGGAAATGGGGTCGTCGGTTCCTCCTCTTCTTTCAGGCAGGGAGAGCCACCGTCACCGTCATCATCATCGTTGTCACCATCATCAATGTCGGACTCAATAACCTGGGTGGAATTAGTTATAGAGTAATCTATCTCTAGACCAGTAACACCAATTATGACTACATCAAATTGAGAACACCCTTTGTATTTGAAGAACAAGGCCTGTCCATTCTCTAAGGAAAAGTGTTGAACAAATTCTGGCCAACCTTTACACAACCAAATATCACCAATCCCATATGCCATTTTGCACCACTCGGTGTCGTAATAATTACTGGATCTGATATTGTCTTTCCATAGTTTGTCATAAATTGTCTCGGAATCCTCTGCAGAATGAAGGGAAAAAAAATGAGTTAGTATTGAATGGATCAAAGTGCAACTTTTACGCAAGAAATAAACCCTCTAAATGAACACACACACTCAACAACAATTTCCTTATTCAAAATAGTACTCTGATTTTTAATTTGCTGAAAATTAATAGTACTACTTTCATCTATTTCACAGAAATAATGTTAATTTCTAGAAAAGGTAATAAAGTAAAACGATTGTTGCTATCATGTCCAAGTTGAGATCATGACCTTTCTAGGAAACAAAAATGTTTAACAATTGTGTGGCACTAGCTACATTATATGCATTCATATGTGTGTGTATTTATATTATGAGATTATAAGTTCAACAATTTTACTTCATATCTTTGCTAAAGGGAAAGTTTCGGCATCTCCTCCAAGGCATACATTAAATAGGAGTACCTTAGCTAAGCAACGTCTAATAAATTTCTAAAACAAAAATAGTCTCTCACTTAAACAATAAAGAGGAGCATAAAAATTTTGAGAGGTCGAACAATATTGAAGCAGAACCTAATATCATTCATGCATACATGCATACATGTGCATGCATGCATGCATGCATCCATACATACATACATACATGCTTACAAGCTTGTTGTCCAAAAGGGTGCTGGCTGAAATCTTCTTCTTAAAGTGAGGGTTCACAGGCGAACAGGTTGTTAGCTTATTATGAAGTTGGCATTGGTGTTGGCAGTGAGTAATCATTGGACGTCATTGTTGAAGCAAAGTAGTTAAAGGTCTCGTTCAGTTCGTCTATTTAAATTTTTAATTTGAGTTAAAATATAATTTTATATAAAAATTTTTAATTGTAACAAAAAAAATTAAATATGATTATTTTTAAAATTTTTTAACTATAATAAAATTAAAATTAAAAACTTAAATCGTGAAATAAACAAGACAAAACTCTAGAGTTTGCCTATGGGATTTTGTGTCTTTTTCGGGTACGTGGCTGTGGCTGCTTGTAATTTCTTGTTTTTTCGGAAGTAGCCAATGTGAATATTGGCCATCCATAAAAAGGTGAGTCTTTTAATGTGCATTTAGTTCAAAAATTTAGGTTATAATTTGAATCATAATTCATGACTCATTATAATATTTTTTTTTATAAAAAATACACATAAATAAAAAATAATTTTAAATCTATCAACTAAATATCTTCTGATCCTAATTAGAAAGACAATCGCTGCTTAATTTGATTTGACATAAAAATTTCATGAGAGAGTCTTCTCAGACTCATCCCCACCGCTTTCTTTATTATCTGTGAATAGCTAGCTTTGTAGCATCATTACCCCCATCTTTAATACTATTACAATCAAATCATCAGATTCATCGAGGAAAAATCGTAATTTATTTATTTGTTTTGGCTAGTCAGTACAATTCTCTGTTACTTATCATTATTATTATCAGTATTGTAACTTGCTCCCACATATTACTGCAGTATTAGAGATATTTAGATCTGTTTAATTCGTTAATTTAAGTTTTTAATTTGAGTTAAGATATAATTTTATGTGAGAATTTTTTACTGTAATAAAAAAGTTAAATGTGATTATTTTTAAGAATTTTTTACTGTAATAAAACTTAAATTTTAAACTCAAATCAATAAAATAAACATGATCTTAAAAAATTAATTATTTAATAAAAATAATAAAATATAAAAAGAAGAAGAGAGAATTAAGTAGAAAAATTATCGCGTGACAGCTCTATAAAAAAAAGTTTTTACTCTATTTTATGTATTGTTAGATTATTATTATTGTTGTTGTTGTTTGGGATTTATGCGTCGTGGGTCCTTAAACTTTGCAACTCTTGGTACTTGAGTCCTTATTTTAAAAATCTAGACAACAAAGCTTTTAAAGAAAAACTATCTACTAACTGATTATGGTTTTTCTTGGCAAAGATTAACTGATTATGGTTAGACTATAGCTTAAGCAACACAGGGTCACTGGATCAATTAAGTTTCCAAACAGCAAATATATCCCAATTCCTTAGATGATGTAAGAAAGATAAGTTTGAAACGTTTTAACATGACAACTTACAAAGACTAGTTTTCTTTACAAAGACTAGTTTTTCTACAAAGACAAGGTAGCTCTTTATAAGTTGCAGCAATTAGTCAATTAATTGCTAATATTCTGATGTCCATAACTAGTCACTTTTTTAAAAATTAAAAATTTTTAAATATGGAAACTTTCAGCACTATGGATTTTCTCTTAATCAGCTCGAAGATTAAGACATCTTTCGGATGTAGAGACGTCTCTCTCGCAAATGCAGCCCATCCGCGAGACAACTTGCATTCCAATGGATAAGCTAGTAGCATCACAGGCCAAGATCTCTCTCTCACCTACTTGAAGATTCACAGTTTTGTGTCCTTTCCTCATAATAAGTTCTTGCAAAAGCAGTAGGTACACGCTGCAAAGCCAAATAAATCAAATTAAAACTAGCACCCAAAACAAGGCTTTTTGATCAAGAGAAGTGAAACTTTCTCACATTGTTATCCTATTTCAGCTTGAGAATTTTTACAAGGCAGTGTGCAAATTGTACATGTGGGCATATATTTTTTACCTACCACTCTAGAATTGGTTGGTTTAAAGTGACTTGATTGCAAAGACACTTGGAAATAGGGATTTGTTGAAAAGAATTTATTGGCTGCTTCAGAAGCTCTGATGTCTCCTGAAGATGAAGGCCTCATGGTGACTTCTTGACTAGTATTCGCTTCCAAAATCTGCATCCTAAACTTACCTGAAGGCCCAAAAGAACAAGTTAAGAAATGAGTAAAACCAAAAAAGTTTTCGACGCGCCTTTCCTTTCGTATTTGGAACAATGTGAATCATCACTACTATAAATAAACTTCCCTCGACTTCAAATCACAAATTAGTTGATAATGTGTACCTTTACTTCTTGGATGAGATGAGCCCCTTTGAGTTTCATCATGATCAGGACCGGTTTTCATTCTCTTACGCGGCCAAGAACACGTTAGTTGAGATTTCTCCCTTCTTTTAGGAAACGGTGAAAAGCTTTCCAAAATTTCAACGGAATCATCATCTTCTTCTTCTTTTACCTCTTGGGGTTGTGATCTTCCAATATTATGTTTCACAATCCAGTTGGGATTGGAGGGATAATCTATCTCTGTAGTACTTTTGTCAAATATGAGAACATGGAATTGAGAATTCCCTTCATACTTAAAAACCAATAAATCCCCATGTCCTAGGGAATAGTACTTCAAAAAATCTCTCCAACCCTTGTCTATCCACACCTTGCCATCACACTTTGTCAATCTTACCTTCCATTTTAAGCCGCATGGAAGCTTAAGAAGGACTGGAATTGATAAAGTACCTCCACACTTGTTCACTATTCTATTAGGAATTTGCTGCAAAATGCAAAATCAAAATAAAAGTAGTTGTGATTTGATGCACTGCAGTAATTACTCGATATTATTCTTATTAGTGTAGGGATTTTTATTGAGATGATGTAGAAAGTTTTCAGTCTTTAAAAAGCAAGAGAAAAGATAACTACATGATGAGGACAATAGGTTGATGGGATTGCCTGCTGTATAAAGAACATGTATATATTCATATGTGTGTGTGTGTGGAAATTTGAACATGTATATAATAAGGGTTGCTATATTTGACACTAATATATTGTCTTTACTTCTGGAATTATAAAACTATAGCAACCCTTATTATGTTGAAAATAATACGCTACAATTGAGGGTTAGTCCCATCTGTTGAAAAGAAATCTACACAGTAATTATTAGTTCAGAGAGCTAAAATAAATTATAATCACATTAATTAATGTAGCTTGATATCGCTTGTCCCTCTATAAACAACATGCAAATTTCCATAAAAAAAAACAAAAGAAAAAAAATCATGTACATGCATGCTGCAATATTATTTTTACTATTATTATTATTTAAGAGAAACAACGAAACATTCACATGTTGCTCTTTGGAAATTCAAGATCAGGTGATATGAAAGGAGCAAAAACGACAAAAACAAATTGGGCATGATGTACAAATTAAGGGTATATTTGATTTGATGTTACCATATAACATATATATGTATCTTTCAGAAAATAAATGGTTTTTAGCAAGCCTTGTTTAATTTTCTCCAAACTACAGTACATAAATACACACACATACAGACATACATACATACATAAATATATATATATATATACTCATATATATACATATATGAAAGAGTTTGTGTAAGAGAAAATCAGATTTGGGAGGATGAAAAGGAAATGAAAAGCAAGAAGATGGTTTGAGGCGTATAGGAATACTTTCCTTTAAGGTTTTATTTGCCATCATTTCTCAAAGTTTGCTAATGAGTTTTAATGGCAAATTACCCCCAAGATACAACAAACCCTTGAACACAATATCCAGCACAAAATATTGAGTTCCAGAACAATCATAAATCTGTATTTTCTGAATGCATTAATTAAAGACATGGATGCATCCATCCTCTTTAAACGTTACAACCTTTCACATAAAGATACCTTTTCTAATTTGAAGGTTATCTTTTATATGCTGATGCAGTTATAACAATAATTATTTCTATTGTTAATAAGTACTCAGATATGTGAGAAAACATATCACAAATTGATGCAATGGTTCAAGACCTTTTTAAATCACTAAAACACATGAAAACACGTTTTCCGGTAGCAATTTGCGCTGCAGCGGATGACATTCTCGGGCTCAGCAAAACAGACCCGAGAGGTCTATTTTGTGCACGTTGCAGCGCCCAAGAGGCGCGCTGCAATGCACGCTGCTGTGCGTTGCAGCGCTCGGGAATCAAAAAACAGACCTGAGAGGTCTGTTTTGTGCGCGCTACAGCGCCCAAGAGGCGCTGCAGCGCGCGTCCGTGCGCTGCTGCGCACGCTCCTACATGTTGCAGCGCGTGCTTGTGCGCGCCTGTTCTTCCCAAATGTGTTTTAGGCCAACTTTTGTGATATCAAAATTGAGAGATATATTACAATTTCTCTAACAGTTGGCTTACAAGCTTGTTGTCCCGAAGTGTGTCTATAAAGATGATCTTGAAAAAATGAGGACTAGGAGGAGAAAACTTCTTCTGCACATCGTTTTCCCGGGGACCAGTACAAGCCATCTTTATTTGGACAGTTGCACTTCAAAAGCTTATAGATAGAATGCCTTGTTCTCGATATATATATATATATATATATATTCTTTTACAAAATGCAATCTTCCTTTTAATATTAGAAGGAGCCTTGTATTCCCAGGGCTCGAAGAAACATGTTTGGTAAATATCTCAATTTTGAAAAAGTTATTATTTTATATTTTTTAATAAATTATTGTTTTTTATTTTTAAGTAAAGATTATTAAGAATTTATAAATAAGTATTTTGTATAAAATTTTATATATGTTAAAAAATATATATTATGAAAAGTGTAAGAAATAATGTCTTTTTTTCCCGACACATGTTCATGAACATGATGACAAATGATTGTTTCTCATCTTGCTCGCTGGGCATATCAACCGGCATTTCTCCTCTCCCAATATAGATGATATAGGAGATATATAATCTATATTAATGCTAAAATCGAGGTATAATATTTAAGTGGTCTGAACATATGCATGTTTACTGTCTTATTTATTATTATTATTATTATTATTATTATTATTATTATTACCTTTGGTGGCGTTTATTATCATTTCTTATTTGCTTATTATGATAGTTCTCGTAATTTATCAGTTCGTCACTTTAATTATTATTATATAAGAATTTCATGATAGGCTCTTTGCATATTCTGGGAAAGCTATGTATTAGTATATTTCAGAACGGGCCTCAATTTTTACGTTTTTCATTTTAATTTTCAAATCGTGTCCGTGTCTTTGCCTTAGCCTTTTCCATAATCATATTATTTAGGTTTATTTAGATCGATGATTTAAATTTTTAATTTGAGTTGAAATGTGACTTTATGTTATAGTTTTTTACTGTAGTAAAAAAATTAAATGTGATTATTTATGAGAGTTTTTTACTATAACAAAACTCAAATAATTTTAAACTCGAATCGATAAAATAAACAGGATCTTATTATACACGTAAACTCATGCTACGAAGATGCCGCGTCTCTAGAACTTCCATTTTTTTGTCTTTTTCTTTTCTTCTGCAGATTTTGGTTGTTCGTACTTTTAGTCCACAGAGAAAAAGATGTATGAAACGATGTACTCGCGGCCAAATTGTAGAAGATTTTAGAAAGAAAAGAAAAACTTTTTTTTTAATGTAGGACAATGAGAGAGAAATAAGAAGTGGGGGAGACAGAAGAGAAATTAGACAAAAAAGAGGGCGAATTTAGAATTAATTTAGAGAAAAAGGATATTAATAAGAGGAAAATATGAATAACCAATATCATTAATCAAATCTCTAGTCTCTATTACTTTGAGAATGTTCACTCCTATTTATAAGAAGTAAAAAAAAATATTAAAACATTTTAGAAAACATATTAAGCTCTTATAAAGTATTAAGAAATAAAACGTAAAATTACTCCTTATTTTCAAGATTAGAGCATCTCAACTGAATGTTAAATTGATGGGTTACTACTAAATACTAACATTTGAGTGAAATAATCTCTCTAATAATGCAATGTTATTTTTTATGTTAAATTTAACAAATGCTATACTTATAAATTTGTCACAAAGTATAATTAACAAATGTCAAATCTAACATTTGATAATCATTACAACAGTGTTCTTTTAAAAATTATTCTAAGTTTAGAAGTTTACTTTGACAAGTTTCAAAACTTAATAATCACATAAAAAGTAAATATGATATTTGAAAGAACATTATATTTTAGAGCACAAAATACAATAGCACATTAAATTATATGCTATTTTCACTTTTTTTTAGTGACAAATGTAATTACTCTGTGTTGCAAATAGTCTTACGTATGTTGAAGGAATCATAGAGCTGGTTCATACGCTTGAATTTCTAACGCAAATATAATATAAGTCAATTGGATATTTAGCACTAAAAAGTGTGATAATAACAAATTTCATAAGTTATTTTTATTCATACTTAAATGTATGATACTATTTCAAATGTTAAATCTATTTTTTGTTATAATTATTGTTTTGAAAATTATAAAAGTAAAATATTAATAATTTGAAAATGGTAATGTTGCAATGATTAAATAAAAAATATGTAATTAAATGCTAAATTTGTCATATACTAATTTGGTGGCAAATTAACATTGCATAATGGAGAAAAATATTAATAATTTGAAAATGGTAATGTTGCAATGATTAAATAAAAAATATGTAATTAAATGCTAAATTTGTCATATACTAATTTGGTGGCAAATTAACATTGCATTAATGGAGAACAATTTTCCAACTCAATTATTAAAATTTAGCATTGTATTGGAGATACTCATCTAGGTCCATATCACGGGCAAAAACTAAACCAGTAAGACCCTTATTAAAGTAGAATGGAAAAGCAAATATTTTGGCCAAAATAATAAGGATCAGCTGCGCAAACATTACTTGATATAAATCTGCAAAGTACTTTATATGACTAAAACCCCAAAAAAGGCTTCAACATAAGGGTATGGACCTTTAAGATCCACAAAGTTGAAAGCCTATTTAATTTCCATATCCCTTGGACGATATGAAGATTAAGAGAGGTTTGAAGTCTGAATATGAAAGCTCACAAACACAAGACCATACATAACTTGCAGCTGTGAGTAGATCCCAACTTTAAACACAATTGAAGTTCATAATCAGATCGCGAAATTAAAGTTTACTCTACGAGTTTTACTCGATAGGCAAACTTTAAACGCAACTGGGTTCCTCTTAATCAGCTCAAAGATCAATGCAAATGCAGACCATCCCCCGGAGAAGTTATATAAACGCGAATAAACTAAAAACTTCACAGGCCAAGATCTCTCTCCTACTTGAAGTGTCACAGTTTGTGATTTTGCCTCAAGTTACTTCTTCACGAAAGCAAACGGTAGATGCTGCAGAAAGAAGAAAATCGAAAGTCTATCATGTGTTGGTGCTAATTAATTACTGAGGTGAAACTTCTTGATCTTGTGGTTTTTCTATCTATAGTTATGAGGAAATTCAAGGGAATAATTTATAGGAATGAGATTATGCTTTCGAAGCTCTGCTAGCTCTAGAAGATGAAGGCCTCTGAGCGATTATGAGGGCGGTATTCTCTTCAGATCCTGGACTTGCCTAGTCAAAAAAACAACTTAATAGCAGTATGAGTTTTCTTTAGTATTATTTTTAGATAGTTGATTCATATACATACCATCAGGATCAACTGCAGTTTCCTCTTGTTCTTCCTTTATAATTGGATCCATCAAAATCACCATGCTCGTCGACTTGAATTTAACACTCGCATTTCTCTTCAGATTGGCAGGTTGTTGCTTTCTCACTAGCTGAAGATCACGTATAATGTATGGGATGAAATTTACTATAGCCATAGTAGAGACTGAATCTAATTTCTGTTAGAAGTATTACTTACCTTTGGGCAGGCAACCATTTGCCTTAACAATGGAAACCTTAAATGAAATATCATTTCTGTTTGTTACCTCAAAAGTGCATCTATCGCCTTCTTCCAATCTATTATCCCGAGCGAATGCAAACCAACCATGACAGAAGTTCGTTACCGGTGATTGCTTCAGTTTCTCTCTTACTTTGTATAGGACAGACCAAGACCTACCATCTGAAACCCAAAGCACAGCATCACCTTCCTTCTTACTAAAATAAGTCTTTGCAAACTTTTACGGGATGTGCTGCCCAAATGAAAAGGAACAGAATTACTTGTAAAAGCACGCGAGAAAAATAGTCGATACATTCGGCCAAGATATGCATGTTTGCATTCATAAAAGGGTAGCCTCAATTATCTATTTCTGTTTATAGAGAATTACTCTTTCCAGGCATGTAAATTGGGACATGCCTGCTTTCTTAATCATAGTGTCAGATTCTAGTTTACTTGAGGAGCTTCCTTTTTGCCCCACTTGAAATTTCGCAGCATTATCCACTGGAGATTATATAAAAGAAAAGTGAAAAAAACTGCAGAGGGAAAATTTGATAATACAAATCAGAGAAAGAACAAGCATTGGTTTTGCTATTTACCTGCAGGTGAGACAGAGGAGTTTGCTCTTCCATTTTCACGGAAAATTGAAACCTCGAATAATTTTTCAATGCTCTTGGTCAGAACAAAAACACAAACATCACCTACTTTCAGATCATTGTCCTTAGCAAATACCTTCCAACCATACTCAAATTTTGCTTTATTATTTATTCCATAAATTCCAAAACTATAATTTACGGACCAAGTCCTCCCATGAACTTTAAGAATCACATGACCACGCTCGTCAATGAGATACTTTGTCGCGAAGAGATATGGTACATTCTTGAGGACAAAAGAAAACCAAAAAAATAATAATGAAACTGATATCAGCTCACATTTTGAAAGGGGAAAGAAAAAGGAAAAAAAAAAATGTAGTTTCAAAAACTGAACTTAAGAAGAAGATTAATTACCAATAGATACTTGATTCCAACGTAGGATGGTTGCATGGAAACCATAAAAAAAAGGGTTTTTGGATTGAAATCACTGGCTATTTTAAGAGCATGAGCCTTTTCTGTTGCACTCAACTTCTGCCTGTCGACATCCCCACGTTTACTCAATTTTCGCAGGATAGATTTCTCCCCACCACCACCTTCTTCATCATAAAATTTAAAATTTTAGAAATAATTTGCACAGCACATACAAATTAAGCAAGATGCTAATTGAATTTTCATGCATAATTTATCAAGTTGAGAATGAGTACCTTCAGGACTGATTTTTCTTCTCTTCTGCGGCCGGGAACATGGTAATGGAGATTTCTCTCTTGTTTTGCAAGAGGGTGAACATCTTTCCAAAATTACAACAGGTCTACATCTTCTTCATTTTCTAATTCATGGGCTATTTTGTCAATATCATGCTGTTTCTCAGAACGGTTGGAACTAGACGGATAATCTATCTCTGTGGTGCTTTTGTCAAATATGAAAACATGGAATTGAGAATTCCCTTCATATTCAAAAACCAACAAATCCCCACGGCCAAGAGAATAATTCTTTGAAAAATCTGTCCAACCCTTGTCTATCCGGATTTTTTAAGTCAATAGGCCCCAAATGTACACCCATTCAATTCGTAGACCCGTTATAAATGGAATTTCAATTTTCATTTTTTTTATTCCTGGGATAAGAGTGAATGACCAAAATATCCTTTAAATGGGGAGGGAAAAACGACGGGTCACCTTAAAGAGAGGCAAAATTATGCCCGATCAGATCTTTCTTACTGGAAAGACCGGTTGGCAATTTTCTTACAGGGCACACCAGTAAGAACTTTCTGACCGGACTCAGGTTTCTTACCGCTCCCACCAGTCAGAACGGAAAGAAATAACATATGTGAGTTTCTTCGATTTTGCAGATTACTCAACTCCGAAGAGGCCATGAAATAGCATGATTCTTGTTGGTTTTTCAAATAAAATACCAAACCATGATTACCCAGCATTCAAACAATGAATTAAGCATAAAAAATACAAGATTTGAGAGAATACCAGAGGTAGGGGCATTCTCCAGCGGTGAAAGGCGGCGCCGCCGGTGAACTTTGGCCGGCAACGTTTCCTCGTGACTGCCCAGCGAAGGAGGGGATTTAGCTCTTCCTTTTCAAACGTTTTTTCTTTTAATTTGAGAGAAAAGGAGAATGGCATTTAGGGAATACACATTTTTTCATTTAATGAGAGACCTACTCATTGAAACTTTCTATTTTGGAGCCTACTCATTAAACACATTACACATTTTAAGCCTATTTTTCAAAAGTCCTAATTTCCATTGTGAACCACATGGAAGCTTAAGAAAGACTGGAGTTGATAAAGTATCTCCACACTTGTTCACAATTCTTTTAGGAATTTGCTGCAAAATAAAATACCAAATAAATTAAGAGATTTTGTTTGATGTGTTCAAACCCGCATTTTTCTCTCATAAAAAATTTAAATTTCAAAAGTTAAAATAAAAAATTATTAGTTTAAACCTATGAACTAAACTGGCCCTAAAAGTTCAATTCAATTCCCAGCAAGTTCTATATTCAGAATTAAATATATCAAGAGAAAAGATAACTAAATGACATGGTATACATAAGGTTAATGAGCTCTTTGGAAATCAAGATGTTCCAATTTGCAAATTATTTTAGACTATTAAAAAGGATGTATATTTAAAAATTAACTTATGGAAAATTAAACACTATACGCCAAAAATTCTAGACAATTATAACCATAGTTCAAAATCAAGAGAAAAGATAACAACAAGCATGTTGCTTGATATCAATAGTCCCTATATAAACAACAGTCATATATATAGAACAAGGAAACAAAAAATACAAAGATTAATGCAGGCAGCCAATATATATGCTATGATATTTCAGAAAAACTGAAATTAATAATATTAATACACACGACTATTAGTGTAGGCTTTTCTTTCTCCAAAAAGTATATTTATATATCTAGGACAACGTAGTCAAAACGAATATATATATATATATATATATATATATATATAAAAAA